TCAACACTGATACCTCAATAGCATAGAAAACGTTTTGTTTTTGTTTTGTCTTCCAGTAGAGGGGAGTGAGGGGAGTGAGAAACTCAGACGAGGCTGTGCTATGTAGTAAGTATCCTTTCTTCATTTTCTGTTGGTGAAAAGCTCGATAACTAAGTGTTGAACAAGCTTCAGTTATTCTGCAGTTGGTCACATAACTCTTGGAGCCTCAACTGGTGATTTAATTGATGATCACTTGGGGAGAAGCAAACAGGTTTGGAGACCTGAGACATCACCCAGAGCCACTGCGCTAAGGGAAGAAGTTCATGGGCTTTAGTCCTTCTGCACAGAGTCTAGTGTCTCTGTCTTTTGTGTATAATTAGCTGAACTTTTCCTTCAGGAGCCTGTGTGATTCTCCTAATAAGGTAGTGATGATGCTTATATTTTCTCTGCGCTAACGCAGTCATATTTTATTGTTAAATTGGAAATAAGGGTCATTATGTTGTTAATTGACATTGATAGTTTCTCAGACAGGCACACCCCTGAGAGGCCAATGGACAGTGCTGTGGAAAAGGATGGTGAGCCTTACCTGAAGGTGGAATAGAAGTTTCTCAAGCTTCCTTGATAATAAGATTGACCTGAGGTGTTGGCTCAATATTCAGATTTCCAGTTTTTTCCTTTGAGGATGCTGCTTCAGAGGGGTTGGGATGCGTCCTCAGAATACGTATTTTAATAGCTACGTGACTGTTATAATTAAGGTAGTATGGGAAACACTCCCCCAGGAAGTGTGTGATTTTGAAAGGGTGGTTCCAGTCAGTGGCCAGGGTGGGGGCGTGGGGGGTGGGTTTCCTGATTGCCAAATATTTGCCATTGTTCCCATGGAGGTATTTTTCTCTTTCTTAGTTCTTTTCCAGCTTCTGTTCTGTACCTGCCACCAACTGCCATTCAGTTCCACTTAGGCAGGCTGTTCTTAGCTCAAATTCTCATGCTGTTCTATACCTCAGCCTAGAGTCTCCAGCTGATTTCAAATCATACCCATTCATACGTCACAGTCACAGTGGTACCAAACGATTTGCTTTTCCATACCTATCTCGACCTCTTCAAATCTTTTGCCTTTTTCATGCTCCATTTTTTTTTTTCTTTTTTTGGGGTGGGAGTGAGGGGGCAGAGGGAGAGGGAGAGACAGAATCTCAAGCAGGCTACATCCAGCACAGAACTCACCATAGGGTTCGATCTCGCACCCTGATCCAAAATCAAGAATTGGTTGCTTAACCAACTGAGCCACCCAGGTGAGTGCACGTTCCATTTTCTGCATAGAATGCCTTCTCTCACTAGTTTACCCTCTGCACTTCTGTTTCTTCTTCAAGAATTCTGACGTTACTTCCTTAGGAGTCTTGCTGAGCTTCCCTAGGCAGAGTTAATTCTTGTCTCTGTGTTCTCGTGGCACATTGGATTTCTCTTACCTGTAACATGTGTTCAGTTATAATGATCTGTTAACTTGTCTTTCTCTCTCAGTAGGCAGCTTGGAGAGGGACAGTGTCTTCACATTTATATTCCAGTCTCTAGCAGAGTGCCAGGTACATAGTAAGAATTTTATAAGTATTTGCTGAGTGAACTTTAGACTTTAATAATTATATATTAAATGATTATTATCAAATAAAAAGGATATGGATTAGTTTATATAAGTCCAGATGTTCATTTGTTCATTAGCCGTTTATTCAGACAGTATCTGTTGGACCTCTGTGTAAGCTTCAGCGATAAGCTAAAAATACACATCATCCTTGCCTTCACAGAGCTTTGAGGTGAGAGAAATCTATTAATACAATAATTATGAAATGAATAGATGATTTGCTACAGTGAAAAACATCAAGGATAGACATATGGGGGCAATGAAAGAACATAATGTGGGGGTTGGGGGTAAAAACTTATCTAAGTGCTGCTGATGAAAAGGAATTGTCTAGGGAGGAAGCAAAGGGAAGAACCTTCTAGGGTCAGGAAAAAAGACTGTTCAAAGGCCTTGGGGTAGGAGAGAGTATGGCAAGAAGAAGAGACTAAAAGATGGATGGTATGTGTGGAGCAGAGAGAGCAAATGGACCCATGGCCTGAGAAAAGGCTGTCACCTAGAGGTTAAGAGTTTTCATCAGCCATGTTAAGAAGTTGTATCTTTATTCTAAATGGAGCGGGAAACCAGTAAAAATAAACCTGAGTAGTTTGGCGTGTGTGTAATTGCAGTTTTGTAGGGATTTATACCTATCAAACGATGAATCGCTTTACTGTTTATTTTTGTTTTGACCATGCAGACTACTTCAGGACAGGAATCAGGTGTTACATTTCTTAGTGTTCCCAGCCTCTAGCACCAGATAATAAATAGAGTGGGAGACCAAGAGATGTGTGTTTCTTATTTTATTTCACATTTTTTGAGAGTGAAGCTTTTTGTAAACACACTTAGAAAGAAACTTAGTTAACTAGACCCACTGGGTAGCTTAAAATGACGTAACATTTTTTGTTTAAATTGTGAGAAACATGTTTGATATGGTGAATGGACAGCTGGTTACCCACTACAGTCTTAATCCACAAAGACCGTTTTGTAAGTGCTTGGGAAACTAGTCAGCATTAAGTTTGAAAAGAACCGGTTTCCCTTGCTTGATAAAGTTATTTTATCACTGATGATGCTTGGGGTTTTGCCATTCAGAATCAATACTAGAGCTGTAATGATTCTTTGGACTTTAAGAGTCCTTTTTGAAAATGTAGATAAATACCTAATTGGGATTACAAGGTCTATTAATATTTGTCAACTGACATCTTTGGGATATTTTGATGGAGACTTAAATATAAAGGAAATTATGTATTGGGGGAGAGCAGGGCATCAATGATGTGGAAGTGAAGCCTACCTCCTCAGTTTTGCTCTTTTGTCGCCTCTAGAAACGAAAGTCATTTTGTGAATGATGGTGGTGATTGTGTTACTGACTGAAACTGAATCTGTCTGGATGTTGGTTTCACAGTAAAACAAAGAGTACTTTTCTTCCTAATCTTTAGGACACTGTGAGGTTTAATGATATTAGTGAGGAAAAGGCGATGGACTTTGGGAGATTATGTTGCTTTGTCATACAAGCTGAGCTGTTGGCATCATCTACCCAGAGCCTTTGTGATTCAATGGAGTTCTCAAATCAATTTAGGAACAAGTTCTTTCTGTAAGGCCAGGATTTCATTAGAACATCACTACTAATATTAGGTGTACTTTCTCAGATTTTTTTCCAGACTTCTTTATTTGCCCCATTGCTCAATTTCTAGTTGCTGGAGGGGACTCAAATGAGAAAGGAAACTTTTGTTGATGTTTTGGGACAAGAGTGGTTTTTCCAGAATATTCCATGATGATTTGAAAAATTAAGAACTCTGCATGACCAGGACACATTTCCACCACACACATCCATTGAGACTTTTCTTATTTCCCTCTAGGGCTTTCTCCACTCTGCCCTGTGGATTTCTACAACATAATTTTTATGTTTGGCAGTTGTTTCCCATTTAATGAATTACGACTCTGGCAAATCTTGAATTAAAGATATTTTTAAATGAATAAAGCCATTCTCTTATTAAATGTAACTGCTTTATTTTCTCACATATTTAAAGGAGATGCCATAGATCTTATTTGGAGTTCTAATAAATTTTTAAATATCACCATCGGGAATAAGGTTCTGATTACTCAAGCAACCACGCTAACCAAAAATGGACCCACCCTTTAATTTTTTTTACCTTTTCCTCTGAGAGATGTTCATCTCAGGTCCTAATTTGCCCAATAAGTCTGAGGCAGCGATTAGCAAACTAATCTGGTCAGCAGCCTTTATCTGTTGACAAATTTTTATTGGAACATAGCCATGATGATCTATTAAGTACTGTCTATGACTGTTTTTGTTTTACAACTGAGCACAGTTGAGCAGTTACAACAGAGAACGCATGACCTGTAATGCTGAAAACATTTATTACCTTACAGAAAAAGTTTGCTGACCTCAGTCTAAGATAATGTTTCTATATATTCTTTGACTATCCGTTATGCTAGGCACTCCCTGAAAGCAAAGACCAAATACGATTTCCTTGTATCTTTAGTGCCTTTCACACTGTACTGTTAGAAAGAAGTGCTTAAGTCCAGAATGTATGAAAGTAACCTGATCCAGCTGTATAAATAATCATGCTTCCCCCGCCCCCCCCCCGCCCCCGCCAACCTTAAAGCCTACGGGAAAGAACTACTGAAAACCAGGCATAGGGTGATTTTCTACTAGGACAGTGTTGGGTTGACTTTCAGGAAGATCTGTATCAATTACTCTGATCTTGGTGTGTTGAACAGAGTTGCTTCTGTTCTCAGTTCAGCCATTCAGACATGAAAGACAGGGATGTTGGGGAGGGACCAATGCAACTTTTGCTGTCCCAAGAGAACTGGGGCAAAGGTATTTATGAGAATATCCCAGTGTCCATATGCTGGGCAGCATATAGCTAAACTGATGTCTTGGATTGTTTGTATTCCCCAAATCATTTGCCCCAGCAGGCAAATTCTGTCTTAACATTTGCTACTGTGTGAAAAAGGAGATGTTTGGGAGGCAAAAGTACCCTGTTTTCAGTACTCTTTCTTGCTTTGTTTCAGTGCCCTTGTTTACCTTCCCTATATATGTAAATGTAGATTAGTTTAGTTTTTGTAAAAAAATTTATAGGTCTAATACCTTGCTTGAATAGGCATTGGAAAGGGCCCAGGAAAATACTCTTGGCCGGTTTCCTTAATAACCAAGCCAGAGGTGGCAATTATATAGGAAGTTTATTACCACTCTGGCCCTTCTCACCCTTCTACTGTCAGACATCACGTATAGAACCCTGTATTCTTTCCGACAGAGACAGCCTCCAAATCCTTCCTAAAATGTTCCAAGTAACTGCCACCAATTAGTCAGAATTGGCCCACGAGATGAAACCTTACTTGCCAAAGATAGTTTTGCATATTTCTAGGTGTGAGAAATTTATTCCACCTTTTATTTCTTCCTTAGCTCCTCATGTGAAATGGATCCAGGCCCCAAAGGCAGGAACGGAGGAGGACTGGCAAAGCAAGGCATTTTCAGCAGAATGCTGAGCATAAATAAAGATGTGAGGTGTCCAGCTGGAGTAAAGCAAAGTTCGCATTGGGAAGTCACACGAAGTGAACATGGAATAAGGAAGAGCTAGGTTAAGGTAAGCATTGGCATCTAGGCCAAGACATTTGAATGTGATTTGAAAAGTCAGTGCTCCTGAAGGCTGGTAAGAGTCTTAGGGTTCTCCAGAGAAACAGAACCAATAGGATAGGATACGTACACACAGACACACACACAGACACACACACACACACACACACACACTCACACACAGAGGGGTAAGTGTGGTCATTTGTTTTAAGGAGTCCGTTCTTGTGAGTGTGGAAGTTGGCAAGTTCAAAAGTTGCAGGGCAGGTGATCAGGCTGGAAATTTCTGCAGGAGATGATGTTGCAGTCTTGAATCTTAAGGCAATCCAGAGGCAGAATTCTTTCTTTGGAGGACCTCAGTCTTTTCTCTCAAGCCCTTCACCAGATTAGATGAGGCTCACCCACATTGTGGAGGGTCCGATCATTTGCTTTGCTCAAGGCTTACTGATTTAAATTTCAATCACATCTAACAACATGAAATTTACTTAAGTGAAACAGAGTTGATGAAAAGAAAATTGTTAAATAAATATTGTATGCAGATGGTATAGGGATATGTCAAGTATATATGTACTAAAATGGCTGAGGTCAGAGAATGGTAAGCCACATAATCACTATACTCTTGTCACAAGGAAATGTCATAAGGAAATGGGCTGTTAAGGAGATTAATTCTGCTGCCTTGAACAAAGGCTATGGACAGAAAATATTCACTAATAACTATTTGCCAAATTTCCCAAATGTAATTGTCCCAGTCTGCTTTTTTTAAAAGAAGTTGTTTATACTTTTTTTTCCCACCTAACAGAAGTTTTAAATTTTATGTAATGTTAGTAATTGGGTCTTTTGCTTCATGGTTTCTTAAAAGGAATTTAAGCTTAGAAAGTCATCCTGGTTTTTGTTTTTTTCTTTTAGGAATTTCTTTTTCTTTCTTTCTTTCTTTCTTTCTTTCTTTCTTTCTTTATTTATTTATAAGAGAGAGTGGAGGGAGAGGGGAAAGCAGGCTCCCTGCTCAATGCAGGGCTCGATCCCAGGACCCCGGGATCATAACCTGAACCACTCAGGCACCCCTCATCCTGGGTCTTAAATTCACAAGTCTAATACCTTGTTTGAGTGGGCATTTGGAAAAAGATATTTTTAAGTATTTAACTTTTTTTAAAAATAAAGATTTTATTTATTTATTTGAGAGAGAGAGAGATCACAAGTAGGCAGAGAAGCAGGCAGAGACCAAGGGGGACACAGGCTCCATGCCGGGCAGAAAGCCCAACTCGGGGCTTGATCCCAAGACCCTGAGACCATGACCCGGCCGAAGGCAGAGGCTTAACCCATAGGCACCCCTAAATATTTAACTTTTTGATGTATCTGAGACTTATTTTGTTATACACATGAGGAATGCATCTAGACTGATTTTATCTTCCTTAAATTTCTACTCAGTTATTCCTGTATGAGTTCCTTTCTGGTGATGTCATTTTTATTTTCTAGAAAATTCTTACATGGATCCAAATCAATTTCTGGACTAGCTCTAGTCTGTGTTCTGTATCTATACATTGTTTGTTTTTCCAGTAGTTAATTATTTTAGTGATATGGTCTTATATTTAAATATTTAGTGTAGTTAGTCGCATCTCATATGCTTTCTTCAAAATTTGCTGTGATAAACTTATTTTTCTCCTAAAAACATCAGAATCTAGTCAGTCTCCAGAAGTTTCATAAAATGTTAATTGGATTTTGTGTAAATCATTATGAGGGTTATAATGAATTCATGTATAATTCATATATGTATGAATTTATGCACATTTTCAATCAACTTTTGATGTTTGTGACTATAGAGCACAGATTAGAGTCAATGAATTAATCTAAAATAATAATGAAGACATTTTATCTCCATTGCCTCCTTCACTTGAGCAATTTAGATGTATAAATAGCCAAATCGAATTTAATTCCCTTCATTTTTACACCTGTATGTCTGGCCTAGGTGTAATATAAAAATCAAGGATCCAAAGACCGGCCTCAGAGAACAGAATAAAAGAAACAATGATAAACATTGTCAGTGAAAGAATTTAGAAACTCTTGAAGGGTAGTTCACATTTCAACTTTTAACTTTGATTGCAATTTCCCAGGACTTCAAATGGAAACCCATGATCCCTTCTGCAAGGATCTTCACCTGGGGTGTTTTAAAATTTGTTTTTCTCATTTTCTTTGCCCTTCTCGTGCTGGTAGTATCTGCACAGCTTGTTCTCCTGGCTCTAGCTAATTCTTGGTCCTCTGACAGCAGAAAGCAGTGATCAGACAGGTTGAATGATTCAATGGAAATGTAATCTGATCTCATCTTAGCCACATGTAAGAAGCAACCTGCTGTGAACCGGAATTGTAATGCTGGGAATTATCTGATTCCTGCAGCCCTCTCTTCTTTCTCTGCCCTGGTGAATGATGGCTAAGGAAATTTAAAGCATGTAAAACATGGTAAATGTCAATTTGTTGACTTGGCCATTGAACCGGACATCTTGCCTTCTTGCAGGTAAAACTAAAGATCACAATTTCTAGATTTTATTTATACGGGCCAAGCATTGAAGTTCTTCTCGATTCAGGTATGTCTTCTTTTCCTTTAAACTATACTTCCAGCTTTGGGGCCAGGTACAAAAGCAAAGCAAAACAGCAACCAAAAAGTGAAGGAATCTCCTTTGCACACCTGAGCTGCAAAGAGGGACGACCTGCAGAACAGAGTTGACATGTGATAGTTCAGTTCCCGGATATGAAGGAAAGGAATCCTCTGCCACTGGCTAAGGAAGGCCAGTTACAAAGCAGGAAAACCAAGAACTGGTAGAAGAAAGTAGAGAAACTTGCAGGAAACTTACAGGAGAGAAAAACTGGACATAAAATTAAAAGAAACAGAAAACACAGCTGTTACACTGCTGGCCCCCAGTGATCACCTCTGCCTACATTTGCCCTTGTGGAGTCCTTGCTCTTTGAACGGGAGTAGGGCCCGTGACGTTCTGACTGACTAGAGGTGGCTGTGTGATGCCGTGCCCTTTCCTGTGTCTATGTGGGAAGCCTTAAGATGCTGTGCTTCTGGGTTCTGAGCCCTGATCTGCTTTATAAGGACTCTGATGGAGCTTTGTGGAGAGGCCATAGGAGAAAAGCCCAGGCATTCAGTGCCCAGCCAAGCCCAGGCCCCTGACCATCAGCTGAATGAATCCACAGAGTGACCATTGGCAAGATCAACAGAAGATTACCTGGCTAAGCCCAGCCCAGACTGCAGAATTGTGAGGAAATAGAATGCCCATTGTTTTAAGCCAGGAGGTTGTGGGCTTGTTTGTTCTATCACAAAACATAACAATTGGTATGATAGTGGAGGGGAAGCATCAAGGACCAAGCCCAGGGTCTCTGCTGTCTGGGACAGCCTGGTGTGGAGGGAAGATGCAGGCCTAGGACCACAACAAGCTCGGGTCATAGCCTCACTTTTTAGCTTTTTGCTCTTTGAACTGGGCAAGTTATTTAGTCTTTCGGGGCCTCAGTTCTGTTTTCTGTAAAATGAGAAAAATATTTCTTCCCTCACAGGAGAGTTAATAAATGAAATGAGTGAAAGTTTGGGGCACATATTAAGTACCCACCAGACAGAAGTTCTGTTCCACTTCCTCCTTACGGTTCCTTCCCCCACTCCTCCACCCCCAACTAAGGACTGACCTAAACTACATTGACTCTTTTGTGTGTGTGTGTGTGTGTGTGTGTGTGTGTGTGTGTGTGTGTGTGATGTTAATCACCATAAAATACATCATTAGTTTTTGCTGCAGTGTTCCAAGATTCACTGTTTATGTACAACACCCAGTTCTCCATGCAATATGTGCCCTCCTTAATACCCACCACCAGGCTCACCCATCCTCCCACTCCCCCTCCCCTCTAAAACCCTCAGTTTGTTTCTTTCATGCTTCGTCTCCCTCTCTGATTTCCCCTACTTTACTTTTCTTTCCTTTTTCTAATGTCTTCCATGTTATTCCTTATGCTCCACAAGTAAGTGAAACCATATGATAATTGACTTTCTCTCCTTGACTTACCTCACTCAGCATAATCTCCTCCAGTCCTGTCCATGTTGCTACAAAAGTTGGGTATTCATCCTTTCTGATGGAGGCATAATACTCCATTGTATATATGGACCATATCTTCTTTATCCATTCATCTATTGAAGGGCCTCTCAGCTCTTTCCATAGTTTGGCTATTGTGGACATTGCTGCTATGAACATTGGGGTACATGTGGCCCTTCATTTCACTACATCTGTATCTTTGAGGTAAAAGCACAGTAGTGCAATTGCCAGCTCATAGGGTAGCCCTATTTTTAATTTTTTGAGGCATCTCCACACTGTTTTCCAAAGTGGCTGCACTAACTTGCATTCCCACCAATAGTGTAAGAGGGTTCCCCTTTCTCCACATCTTCTCCAACATTTGTTGTTTCCTGCCTTGTTAATCTTGGACATTCTAACTAGTGTAAGGTGACATCTCAATGTGGTTTTGATTTGAATTTCCCTGATGGCTAATGATGATGAACATTTTTTCATGGGTCTGCTAGCCATTTGTATGTCTTCATTGGAGAAGTGTCTGTTCATGTCTTCTGCTCATTTTTTGACATGATTATCTGTTTTGGGGGGATTGAGTTTGAGAAGTTCTTTATAGATCTTGGATATCAGCCCTTTGTAGTGTCATTTGTGAATATCTTCTCGCATTCTCTGGGTTGCCTCTTTGTTTTGTTGACTGTTTCCTTTGCTGTGCAGAACCTTGTTATCTTGATGAAGTCCCAAAAGTTCGTAATCACTCTTATTTCCTTTGCCTTTGGAGATGTGTCTTGAAAGAAGTTGCCATGGCCAGTGTCAAAGAGGTTACTGCCTATGTTCTCCTCTAGGATTTTGATGGATTCCTGTCTCACATTGAGGTCTTTCATCTATTTTGAGAATATATTTTTGTATGGTATAAGAGAATGCTTGAGTTTCATTCTTCTATACATAGATGTCCAATTTTCCCAGCACCATTTATTGAAGAGACTGTCTTTTTGGATATTTTTTCCTACTTTGTCGAAGATTTGACCATAGAATTGAGGGTCCATATCTGGGCACTCTACTCTGTTCCACTGGTCTATGTGTCTGTTTTTTGCCAGTACCATGTTGTCTCGGTGAACATAGCTTTGTAATAAAACCTTGAAATCAGGCAACGTGATGCCCCCAGCCTTTTCTTTTTCAACATTTCCTTAGCGATTTGGGGTTTTTTCTGGTTCCATACAAATTTTAGGATGGTTTGTTCCAGCCCTTTGAAAAATTCGGGTGGAATTCTGATCAGGATGGCATTGAAAGTATAGATTTCTCTGGGCAGCATAGACATTTTAACAATGTTTATTCTTCTGATCCATGAGCATAGAATGCTTTCCCATCTTTTGTGTCTTCTTCAGTTTCTTTCATGAGTGTTCTGTAGTTCCTTGAGTATAGATCCTTTACCTCTTTGGTTAGGTTTATTCCAAGGTATCTTGTGGTTTTTGGTGCCATTGTAAATGGAATCGATTCTTTAATTGCCCTTCCTACATTTTCATTGGTAGTGTATAAGAAAGCAGCTGATTTCTGTGCATTGATTTTGTATCCTGCCACATTACTGAATTGCTAAATGAGTTCTGATAATTTGGGGATGAAGTCTTTTGGGTTTTCCACATAAAGTATCATGTCATCTGCAAAGAGAGAGAGTTTGACTTCTTCTTTGCCAATTTCAATACTTTTTATTTCTTTTCTTTGTCTGATTGCTGTTGCTAGTTCTATGTTGAACAACAGTGGCGAGAGTGGGCATCCTTGTTGTATTCTTGATCTCAGTGGGAGGGCTCTCAGCTTTTCCCCATTAAGAAGGATATTTGCTGTGGGTTTCTCATAGATGGATTTTATGAAGTTGAGCAATGGTCCCTCTATCCCTATATTTTGAAGAGTTTTAGTGAGGAAATGATGTTGTCTTTTGTCAAATGCTTTTTCTGCATCAATTGAGAGGACCATGTGATTCCTCTCTCTTCTCTTATTGATTTGTTCCATTACATTGATTGATTTGTGAAAGCTGAACTACCCTTTCATGAGGATGCAAGGGTGCTACATTAACTCTTAAGGGTAGTCCTGTGACCTGCTAAAGGGCATCGTGTCATAGGTCAGTTTTGTACTCTGTATGTATTTGATAAACAACCACTATGTTTATTTGAAAAAGAAGTAATATGCTAAATTCTAAGTGATGGATTTTTTTTATTTTTTTATTATTATTTTTTAATGATGGTAGGTTTGGGCGCCAATGTGCATTTGTGTCTATATCCTGGAACTTATACACCTGCTCCTCTGGAGTGTGACAGCTGTTTATTAGACTAAGCTGGGGTCATGAAGGAACATTACATTCAGTTTATTTTACTGCAGAAGGTATGAAGGCATGCACTAGATTTCTGTTAGAGTTTCACAAAAAAAAAATTACTATATTGTTTGTAGAGTTCATTTATGCAAAAATTGCACATTTTGAGGCAGCACTGGGTAAAATTTTGTGCTTATTGAACCCCCAACTTCATACTAGAAGGTGAGTTAGGACCCCAGAAAGAAAGAAGTCCCATATTGAGTGTCTGAATTATGTTAAAACTGTGTAGATTCCCAAGTTTGCAAGCCTTCTGAGAGAAAATACACATGTACATTCACACATTCACGTACACAAATGCATGAAAGAGAGGACTAAGGAGAAAAGAAGTAAACCTGTCGTGGCCTCAGTTTCCAACTTGTGAAAAGAGAAAGTCAGGCTAGAAGGTTCTCCAAAGTCATTTCCAGCTCTGAGTGTAGCACACATCTCAAATCCTCGACCTGAATTAGCCCTTTGTGGACTGGGAGATGAAGAACACAGGTTGTTCTGCAGCAAAACTTTAGTTGCAGAGCTTTAATTAGAAAAAGAATCAAAATTCTCTTTCAGATTATGCTTTTTTAATTTTATTTTTAATTTTGCTTTTATTGTTTCCATTTTATTTTAAAAAAGAAATGAAAGCTGCAATTTGCCGAATTGCTACATGCTTTTCCTTGCCATACAAATGCCCTAGCATGTTAACCTAAAACAATTTTCTAAAATGTATTTTTAATGAGAAACTGAGATCCCTGAAATTTGTCTTGTACATTTTTTTTTCCTTTAGACCTCTTATAGGGCTCTGGAGTTTCCATACCTCGGTGCCAAGAGCATGGCAAAGGAATCCGGCTCAGTTTAGTAATTACCTTGTGTTAGTCTTGCTCAAAGTTGTTTTTCTCTTAATGGTTTAGGAGAGCCATTCAAATGCTTTGACTCTAGTCATCAAAGTTCCAATGGGGAGGGTAAGTGAATGTGTATGTAATGTTTAGCCTATAAAAATGGCTATACACAGAGCTTATGCAGAGTAAATTCATACCAGGGACTCTGAGTAAGGGTAGGTCAATGTGAAAGAAAGCATGAGAAAATGAATGAGTTGAGGAAAGCCTGGGAGTATCCTTCCCTCTCTAAATTAGGTCTCACAATTTTAGTGGATGTTTATTTTTGCCCCCCTCATGAGGGAAAGATCTTCCCAAAGTCTCCCTGTGTGCTTCCAGAATGCTGACTCACTCCCAGTCTCCACCGTGGAGCAGGTACATATCCCACATTTTCTCAGGCTTTCTGTGGTGAAGGACCAGTTTGCTTCCTCTCATACTCCCCCATTCACCATGGGCTGATACTTGCATAAAATACAGTGCAAATCAGTCACTGAAAAAAAAAAAAAACAACAACACACAAAACAAAGACAAACAGGGGCACCTGGGTGGCTCAGTGGGTTAAGGCCTCTGCCTTCAGCTCAGGTC